TTTCATGGTATGACTCAGTAATTTGATACCCCTATAATTGTTACAACTCTGGATATCACCTTAGAACAAATCTTTACAACCATAGATATAAATTATCTCAAGCCCCTTGGGTTCTCATTTCACTTTCTTCACCTATCAAAACCATTAAGCATCTTAGATTACCCTCAATAAGAAGATTTATGAAGATCCTCAATTATTGAGCACTATAGGAAATAGAAGAATCTCATTATACAGAATCACAGGTACGGTTCTATTCATGAAGAACCAGGAGGAAGGCTTCCATCTCATGTATGATAACAGAACCCCCACTCACAACAAAAAATAAGAAGAGAGAAGAAGAACAATAAAAATTGAATCGTTTTCACGTATTACGTATATTTCCAGCCATAAGACATAAAAATAAAATTAAGTCCTGAAGGTTTTCGTTGCTCTTTCTTTACGCTCCTGCAGTCCAGCCACCTAACTCTTTCAACCCAAATTAAAAATATATAAAAGGAGTAGAACTTTAAGACACTTCTCATTGAGCCAAAAGAGAGATTAGAATACATGAATCCCCAAAATTAACACTCCATAGAGAAAGAAAAGGCTATAGTTATACATGCCTCAAAAACAACTCCATCTAATGCCATTGCATTACTGGCTTCTTCAACTGTTCTCATCTCCACAAATGCAAACTTCTTTTCATGATTAATGTACACATTGACAACTGCATCGCCTGAAATTCAGGAATAGGTTATACTAACAAGGGGTGTGACAGTGGAAATGTATAAAAGTATTACGTTTGAAATTTGAACGCACCTGGACCAGCAGAATTTCCACCAACTGCACTCATAACATGACTAAAAAATGCCGAGATTGTCTATTTCAGATGCAGCAAAAGAAGAAAAAATAAGAAATCTGAAGTGAAGCAAAACTCGATACGACAAAAGTCCTAAAATAAGATATTACCATAAAATAAATTTCTTACATGGGACACCATATTTGAGGCGTGAAGCTCTCTATTTCAACTCACTCTTACGAGTACAGGACAGGGACATATTTGGCCTCGTTATAGTCTTATAATTGAGTTAGAATGTCAGTTTGTTTAAAGGCGGAATTCTAGCCGAGGGTCTATCGGAAACAACCTCTATGCCCTTCCAGGAGTAGGGGTAAGGTTGCGTACATCTTACCCTCCCCAGACCCCACTTGTGGGAAACTATTGGGTTTGTTATTTTTTATTTTTTTGTCGGGGGGGGATCTTTCATAAAGAAAGAAGACAACATTAATGGATGCATTCACACAGGCTATGCCCTCAATAAATCAGTCAGCTACAACTCAATTCCAAATTAGCAGCCCTTTTATCATAAAGCCATATTCAATCTTAAAACCGATGTTATATAATTCAGTCTGTACAGTGTGCAAGCTTGAAATCTAAAAAAGAAAGAAGGTAAAGTATAGCATCCGCCATTAAGTCATGACAACCATATTTCAAAGAGAAGCCAGGACCCTAGGTACAATGTGGATGAAAGATGACGGAAATGGACCATTAAACCAATATTTGCCTTACCTGTTCATTAGCCAGTGGTGGGAGGCCACCAACATAGACGCGTCGTGCATGTCTTGTAGCCTATGAGCAAAATAGGGAAAAGGTGAAATACTTGTTGTAAATACAGAAGAGGATGGAGCTTCAGCAAAACATATTTACTTGCTGACTCATGGCTTGAACTGGCAAGAAAGGGAAAGAACCCAACTGATTAATCTGTTGAACACGCCTTAGTCAGAGAAATAACTAAATGGATCTATAGGGAAAACTTACATCTAAGTAAGCAAAAAATAAATACAAACAAAAAATAAATCCTACAAATTAAATTAGTGGTACCTGAATTGTATCAGTTGGATATACATTTTTTAACATTCCAGGAATTGATTGAGGGGCATTGGAAGAACCCAGAATTTGCTCTACATAACAAGGAATAAGTAAAAAGAGAAGCGAAAGTGATGAAAATCAAAATGTAAAATCTGACAAATTATGCAGCCGACAGACAACAGATTTAAATGCTGAATTCAACAGATTACATAAAACATTTTTTAGAAAACATTTTAGCTTTTGAGTCAAAGGGATCATGGTAGTAGTTATTCACCAGAGAGCATAAAAGGAAAAGCACCTATCCCTTACCTATATATTGTATACCATTCAGACAATAAAACAAGAATTATATTCCACCACTGCAGGTTCCTGGATAACAATTGCGAGCCTACCAAATTACAACAGTTGCTGTTGATGATGGAAAAGTTCCAGCTAACCGAAGCACTGATTCCTCCTTGAATTAAATCTACAGCCCTCACGCCCATGAGTAGCATGGTGGGACATAAAGTCCAATATTGCCTTCTTAGCCATATGTAACAAAATCACAAACAAAGAACCAACACAACAGCAAACAACACAACAATGATTCTCAGTTCCAAGTAGAAATTATCAGCACGAAAACAAATTAAAGCTTATCATATTGAACATAACCATAAATCTCTAAATGTAGACTGACATCATTTTAGGTAAGAGAGAGCTATAATTATCTGTGCAGTTTAAGTTCTAAATGCTAACCTTCCCCGCTAGAAAAAGCTGTTGCTACTGATGGAGCCATATCAAAGCCACTTGTCCGCTTGCTGTCAAAAAGGAAAACATAGATTATGGCACTCTTCAATTTTATGGATGCCTTGAAGAGAACAAAAGAGTGAATCAAGACTTTTCTCTATGATTTTGAGTAAAATATATTCATGTTTTTAAAGAACGAGAACAAAAGAACCCCTCGTGGAAAATGAAATAGAGCATTGAGAAAGACATATGAATCATCCAAAGATAAACAAAAATTTGCAAAAATTTAAAGTAAAACCACATGATAATGAGACTAATTGAAATCTTGCAGTAATTTGATTTTAAAAAAATATCAAACAATAAGTACAATATATTAAGGAGTTATTAACGTGGAATCGGTGGAAATTCATATTATTAACAAAAATTATAAGGGAACCTCTTTGGAGGTAAAGGAGAATTTGATCTTGATCTAGCTTTCCCATAAGAACGATCCTTTGACCTTGAACGGGATCTACGTGTCTCACCCTTTTCTCTACCTTCACGATGTTGGCGCCTATAAAATCACAATAGTGAAGAAATGACCAAATAACAAAATAACGATCTATCCAAGATACTACTTTTAATTCGTAAACAACAGTCATGCAAGCCATATATATGATTCATCATCAAGCAAAAAGTTACAGGTACAATTTGGCTTTGCGTTTCTCTTTAATCCTTTAGTACAAAGAGAGATCAGATCAGTAAGCATCTTCCTTTTTCTTTCTTTTGGCACTTTACCCTAGCTGTCCAGTTGTGGAATTGTTTTAAGCACATTTTGGGGGTAAAGTATGTGATGCCAAAGACTGTCAAAGAACTCGTTGGGTGTTGGAGCGGATTGTAGAGAGCCATTCCAGCTTCTGTGTGTCTGGTGGTATGAAAAGAAGGAATCAAAGATGTTTCAAAGGCAGAGCTACAGCTGTTTATGTCTTGAAAGTAGATGCTTAGTTCGTAACTCTTTAGCTTTTCAGTGAATTTATAATATGCATGTGAAGAGGGCATTGTATAGATTCCATTAGCTTGTTAAAAAGTTGAAAGATTTTGAAATTAATACATCCTATTGTAGCGTCCATAACTTCCTTACTGATAGTTTTGCTCATTGATGAACTTTTTACTTATCAAAAGTTTTTTAAAAAAAAAAAAAGAACCAAACTATTTATTTTTTTTAGTGGTGAAACCAAATAAAGAATTATCTTGTCTAATGCCAACATTACAACTGTACAAGGACTTCCAACTGAGAGCCAATTGGATTGCCTTGATTTTCCTGAAACCAACTGATTCCAGAAGCACTATATAGGTTAATTGTTTGTTTCCAAAAACAACAGATCCTATGAGTTAGCTAATACCTCTAACTATTCTTCCCATTGCATGCATCTATAACTTTTCAAAATTTAATAGAGCAGAATACACCATGACGGAAGTATGACATAACAACTCAAATGAACAGACTTTATTCCCAAAAAAGAACCAGTAAGCGAATGGAAAGATCTCAAAGCTTATGCGTACAAACATTCTTTCTAAAATGACCTGTCAAATTTATGATTCCTGGAATGGCTGTAATCATCATTGTCATCATTTCTTCTGTAGCCCCTACTGCTTTTATCCTTGTATTCCCCACGATGACGGTCTTGATCTCTGGAATATTTATCCCTCAATCTATCGTGCCGAGATCCATTAGATTGGCTCTGCAAAAGTTCAATTAGACAATATTCTGAAATTAGCCCAAAGCAACAAGCAGCGAAATATATGCTTAAAGAGTTCACGGGATCACATATAGACTAAAATGGTTTTACTGATCAAATTTTGGCAATCAAAAGCTTCCCCCCTAGGGGATGAACAAGAAAAAAGACAGCTTACTTTCTGTGTGAGGGCTTGAAATTCAATCAAATTATATGAATATAACAAGCATTTTTCAGTGATTAAACATCATTATTCCGTTGAACTTCTGAACTATGCCATTTCAAGCTTCATAATACTTGAGTGATATCCAACAGCATTCTAAATGGTTCCAACATATGTTTAGCCAAGTACTTTAATTGCCATACTAGAGAACCAGTATGGAACTGTTACATGCACAGGGATTAAGATTTTTACCTCTCTTTTTTTTAATTATCTTAAACTGTAGCCCCCGGGTCAAGTTACGCCACCTCAACTAATCCATCGAGTACCTCCTACTTCCCACCAGCACATATACCGGGTAACTCTTTACACCAAGGCATAGACAGATTGACAGGAAATAACCAAACTTTTTTAGTCAACTTTGGTCTCCCATGGTTCATTCCAACTTCAAGGCCACACCCTTCAGTGCTACTTTCTACTTTCGCTAGAAACAGGAAAGCATAAAACTAATGGGCTCATACCTTTTTGCTTTTTCATTCTTGAAAGTTCTTAAAATGATAATTTCAAACAACTTGGGATTGCATTTTCCCTTTAGCCACAACCATGAGGTAAAAATTCAGCCAGTGCGACAAAGTAATTACAGTAGTCCTGTTCACACGAACTGTTTCTCATCCTACTAATTTGGTTACAAATTCAAATTTATTTCATTTGTTGTTTCTCTAAGATTATCTCCAAAATACCTTAAAATGGCCTCGTGGAGCTTCAAGTTTTATTCAACTAATTGCTCCTTGCAATTAAAAATTTCAATCCTTTTATCTCTGATTAAATTGCTTCAGCTCACAACCTAAATTACAGTACATTAGAAATTTGTTTATACATCCGATGTCACTTCGTTAAATAAATTAGTACAGTTTCTTAATTTAAAAAAGCTTGAATCAAATTAGTCGAGCTAATTTAGAGCAATTTGAACCGATTAATCCTATGGCCAGCAAAAATTAAGAGAAAAAATGAACCTCGTGATGATGCGACTTTCGATCTTTGTAAGAATACGGAGACGATCTTCTGCGATCATCATTTTTGCTCTCATAACGAGGCATAATCGTTAGTTTTGAATCTTTGATCACCAAACCCTATCCCTAGTTCTTTGATTTTGTTGGAGAAGAGAATTAAAGAGAAGTTACAATTGCTACGATTCTGATTTTGAACTTCGGGTATAAATGTACTCCATCTAGTGGGCCGATTCCTCTCAAGGTTCATGGGCTAAATGTACTCCACTTTGTGGGCTGAATTTCCCTCGAGGTTCCCGGGATAACTGCCAAAAACTAACTTAATTAGCCGTCCATCTAACTGTTTAAATTAAAAATAATCAAACGATAATATATATA